ACTCAGGTGCAGCAGGTGGGAGGTTGTGGAGTCCAAATCTTCCATGACCCTGTGAATATTTCACCTTAATAGTGTTGAGCTTTTATTGTGAAAGTGCCATGTTTCCTGTACAGAGTCGGTGTGTTACCTTTTGACAGTCCGGGAGCAGATGAGACTGTACAAGAACAGGATGACTCCGTGACCCCCCTCCTCATTAAACTACAAAACACACAGTGGGGACGGGTTATTTAGTGGTTCTGGTTTAGACCAGTTAATCCAGATTAGTCAGTGCCAGGTTCTGGATTTACTCACACACTGAATGTGATCGAGGATGAACTTCATGGCATCGCCCTTCTTGTCAAAGGTAAACAGCTGCAGCTGAAACGCACGAAGAAGACACGTTTGAAGAAGGAAGGATAAAGAGTCCAGAGAGGACAAAGCCGCACCTTCTCTGTAAAATTGTTCAGCTTGTAGTCCAGATAAGGCGTGATGCAGTAGTCCTCGGTTACCAAGGAAACCGTAGCCCTCTCCTCCTGACCGGCCAACCAGAGGCTGTCAGACAGAGCAGTTGCCAGAGCTGTCTGCTGGTCCCTCTGTCCCACATCCCTGAGGGTGGAGTAAGACACGAGTCAGGACAGAGGAACATTACTGTCTAACATCTGGATTCCCTATCTAACCCTGTCCTGGAGTTCCAGCACACCCGTATCTTGTCCTGTAATTACAGTCCAGCACAGCCCTGTCCAATAATCCCTGTCCAACACATCCTTGTCCTGTTCGCAATTTAATGTTCAACGCATCCCTATCCTGTCCTAAAATTCATATCTAGCAGATCCCTGTCCTGTCCTGGAATTCCTATCCAACAGATCCAGACACTCTGCCCAACAGAGTCCTGTCCTGGAATTTTGTTATGCCATCCCTATTTATCCGTATTGTTTCCTACAGTCCCCATCCTAACAGATTCCTGTCCTGTCCTAGAATCTCTGTCCAACAGATTCCCATCTCGTCTCTCCCGTCATGTTCAAAGGGTGTGAACATCGTTTTCAGATGTATCAGTACTGAAATGCGCACAACCTCTTACTAACGTCATGGCTGGTGTATAGATGTTTCTATGGTTTATAAAGTGTAATATGCCCACATGTCTTCTAGTCCCTCTGTCTCACATTGGTCCATCATTAATCCACCCAGACGTCTGCAATTACATGAGTGGATGTTAAAGCATGCACAAAGTGATGCAGAAAACACCAACAACAATGGCTTTAGCCTTATTAGAGAATCATTCTAGTTATGTTATCATGAAAACAGTTCAGTGCGATAAAAGGGTGTATTCAGTGACCCGAGAAGATTTTCTGTCCAAGATGACAACTGGCTCATCAGCTGCTGTAGGTTTCTGTTGGAGAAAATCTTCTTTCACTAACATTGTTTAACTAAGGGCGGCTGTGGCTGAGTGGTTAGAGCAGTCGTCCTCCAATGCAAGAGTTGGGGGTTCGAATCCACTAGCAGTCACATGCCGAAGTGTCCCTGGGCAAGACACTGAACCCCTCATAGCCTCTGATGTGTGTCCCATCAGTGTAAGAATGTGATAAAGCTCTGATTAGTCTCTTTAGAATGATTTGTTCAATTAGCTTTGCAGAGATCTAGTATAGAGCTGTATGAATGGGTAAATGAGGAACTGATTGCAGTGTAAAGTGCTTTTAGTATCTCAATAAGATAGAAAGGTGCTATATAAGTACAGTCCATTTACCATGCATTTACTAAAAGAACCACACTCGACGGCAGGAGATTTTTAACTGGTATTTATACTTGCAATGTCAGATTTTTAGGACAGGTTACATAAATATACATCAAATGTACACACTTGAGAACCAGTCACAAAAATTTGCCATGAGATGCATTAACTACTCGCTTTTATACCCTTATCAGTTCAGCAGGGAATAATGTAGTTCAGTCAGTGGGTGTCCTCAGAGGGAGATGTACTCTCATTTGGCACTCTAGGCCTGCACAGCACGAGCATCTCTCCAGTTCAGGATAAGAGTGATTGGGGAGACAATTTGGATGTTTGTTCTCAGGGAAAGAATGTTAATAATTTAACATCCATAACCTTTGACCAAAAATTCTCTGACAGTGTCCAAGTACTGTCCTGTTTGTACTGTGCAACAAGGGCATTGGAGAGGTAGCTGGCAGACTGATCCAGACTGTGCCAGTTGACCCTGAGCTGAGCCGTACCAGCTGTATGAACTTATTAGTACATGTGCCAGGTAGGAGGCACAAACTTGACTAACCAATGCTGCGGTGCGGTGGACTCAACTTCCGGTTTGTTCAGTCTAAAGAACAACATGTTGGGAGCAGAGAATAAACTACCAAAGTGAGGGACAGGAGCTTCTTGGTGAGTAAGTTTTACTGAGCCTGAGTTCCTCTGTGTTACAGACAGTATGTCAAACACATGAACATGGTCTGAAATGTCTTTGCTTCATTTGCGGGCACATTTGACAGTTGTGACATCTTTGGCTGGACAGCTGGGCATTTTCCTCACATGTACTCACCAGAGGTAATGAGTATCAGGTGTTTTTCATCATGTTACAAACACAACATACACTTCCACACGTGTTTGTGCAAGGCACTAATGCCAGAGGACAGCATGTCAGACATGTCTTTATGGCCAACTAACTGTTGTAGAATCCTTGACCAACAGATCTCTGTCCTGTCCTGGAATTCCTGTCACGATGATCCCCGTCATATTGTAGATTCTCTGGCTAAAAAATCCCTGTCCTATATTGGATTCCATATAAAACAACCATCTATCTTGTAGAATCTCTGTCCAACTGATCCCTGTCCAACTAATCCCTGTCCAATTGATCCCTGTCCATCTGATCCCTGTCCAACTAATCCCTAGCCTATCCTGGATTCCATATAAAACAACCATCTCTCTTGTGGAATCCCTGTCCAACTGATCCCTGTCCAGCTGATCCTTGTCCAACTTATCCTTGTCCATCTGATCCCTGTTCAATTGATCCCTGTCCAACTAATCCCTGTCCAATTGATCCCTGTCCAATGGATCCCTGTCCATCTGATCCCTGTCCAACTAATCCCTGTCCAACTAATCCCTGTCCAACTAATCCCTATCCTGGATTCCATATAAAACAACAGTCTGTCTTGTTGTATAATCCCTGTCCAACTGACCCCTGTCCAACTGATCCCTGTTCAACTTATCCCTGTCCAATTGATCCCAGTCCAACTAATCCCTGTCCATCTAATCACTGTCCAACTGTTCCTGTCCATCTAATCCCTGTTCAATTAATCACTGTCCAGTTGATCCCTGTCCAACTGATCCCTATCCAACTAATCCCTGTCCAATTGATCCCTGTCCAACTAATCCCTGTCCAATTGATCCCTGTCCATCTAATCACTGTCCAACTGTCCCTGTCCATCTAATCCCTGTTCAATTAATCCGTCCAATTGATCCCTGTCCAACCAATCCCTATCCAATTGATCCCTGTCCATCTAATCACTGTCCAACTGTCCCTGTTCATTTAATCCCTGTCCAACTGTCCTTGTCCATCTAATCCCTGTCCAGTTGATCCCTGTCCAACTGATCCCTCTCCAACTAATCCCTGTCCAATTGATCCCTGTTCATCTAATCCCTGTCCAACTGATCCCTG